ATAAGGCAAATTAGTTTCTTCTGTTGGAATTCACAGTTCACAAAAAGCCACTGTCAGAAAAAACTTTTTTGTTTGTTTGTTTCTTCTTTCATTGTTCTCAGTCCCTTGAGGAGAGAAAGGAGGGACTTTTATAAAAAATTGAGAAGAAAACAAATCAGAGTGGAAATACAAAAGCAGGATTAAAGACAGAAGCTTTTCTTGGAGCCTCTGATCACTATTCTGGACCTCACCCTTTCTTCTCTGACTGCAGTGCTTCTTTTTTGGCCAATAATCCTCCTATGAAATATGTTTCTCACAGAGAAACCAGGTTCTCCATCTCACCATTAAGCCACTAGGATTTCCCATATGCTATTGTATCTTCTGTATAAATACTGCCTTCAACATGGATTAGAATGAGGCTTTGAAAACTTTGCTTTTACCAAAACATCATGATGGCAAAAAGTTTGAAAAATAACCATGTTAAGCATAAATACAAATGGCACAAGGCAATCTTCTAGCCAGGACTACAGAGAGAGTAGCTACTTCAACAGCTGTGACTAAGGAGCCGGTTAGAAACAGCCGCTGTAATATATTGTTGCACAGACAAAACATGATAGTACCTGCAGAAGTTGTGGGTTGGACTGCCTGCTGCATCATAGGACAGTGCACAACTTTGATGCTGAAACACACTGAAAAATGTAGAAATAAGGGAGAAAAAAAAAAAACCCACCTTTGGGTAATAGGGTAGCTGTTTGCTATTTGACAAGGAATCCCAGGGCAGAGCTTCCCTGCTATTCTGTAAAGGGAAAAGTGCTGCCCAAAGAAGTTAAGAGGCTCATGCAGCCCACACTGAGGGAAAGGATAGAGACAACATCTAATCTTGAGGGGATTAGTTTGAATGGTCAGTTAATCACAAGAATTGTGATTTGGGCACAGTAATCAATGTGTGTTGTCAATTACTCTGGGCCTGACCATAAAACCTCACTTCATACCAGGTTCCTTGTAAAGCAATCATATAAGCTTGCAATAAAAGAGCTGAGACAAATGGGTAGCAAATGTCATCTCATTTTGATTTTAAATAAGAAAGATGCACAATTCAAATTGTACTTTGAATTCTTCCCAAATAGTTAAGCTTGATGTGTCACCAGCCAAATTCATTCATTATACCCCTTGGTTTTATGATATTATACTTTAAAGTATTTTCTCTTCTACTAGGATATTTTATTACCCTCTCTTCATCCTCACAGAAGGTTTCTGTTGTTCACAGTGGGTGCACGATGCATTTTTTTTTTGCACCCTTTCAGCTGAAGAATAAATATCTGAATAAAATTTACCACTTGGAAATGAAATGCTGTAAAAAACTAAACCCACAAGTTCTTAGTGGAAAATTATTTCAAGTTCACCAGATAAATTAAATTTATATCTTAAATAAGTAACCTCTTAATAAATTTAAATAACCTCTCCTGGAAAATAGTTTATTTTTATGTTCTTTATTCCACCAAAACTGCATTGCAGTTTTCCAGTCTTTATATTTACATTATTTGCAACTCTTTCCATAAGTGCCAGTACAAATGTAACTGATGAAAATCCAGAATAATCATACAAATGTTCCTGAAAGCAAGGTGCATTTCTGAGCAATTTTTTTTCTGATGCGCAATAATATATATGTATATATTAACAAAGCTTCATAATATAAAATATCTTCCATGGCAAGTAAAACTTCCCCACTTACAGCTTATTCAGATTTCAGTTACATAGACTTTTGCATTTCAAGTTAGTGCAAATAATGAAAGTAAGAGCCTGAGCAGAATGATGTAAGTACAATGGAACAAGAGAAACAAGCAAAATTTTACCAACTCCCTGCATATGGTTATAACATTTAATCAGTATATCATTAGTATTCTTTATATACAACGGATTTAAATAATTGGCTTGTCTGAACTATAGGCAACAAATTTACAATTTAAAATAAAATAATGTTTCACACAAATATGGAATGTCCGACAAATATAGGAAAATAAAATGCATCTAGTAACAAAACGTTGTAAATCAAAAAGGTAAAAGATGTCTTCTCCATCTTGGAAGATTTCAAGGCACTTTCTTGGCAAATCAGAATTCTCTCCTTAGTACAAAGTCTGCAAGAGAAAAGGACATGCCATTTTATAACTAGTTTCAAAACAAAGAGGCAGACCGCTTAGTATAATTCTGTTTATAAATCACAGTTTCCCATGGATTGCATAAATCTTAAGATTAACTCCAGAATGCCAGTGGGTCTTGCCCTCCTGTGAACACTAATGAGTTTTGCCATGGCAAATACTCAGCGTTGATGCTAAGAGGTTTAACACACAGTGGTCCACGCTGCTGCACCTTACAAGGAGGCTTCCCATGCATAGTTATGTGCATTTCTAGATCCTGGGTTTCATCAAATGCTTTACTTCCATTTGAGAGGATCTGAATTAGGAAAAACAACAACCACCACCACCAAACTACACAAGCAAAATGCTAAAAGCCGCAACGGCGACTAACTGCTGCGAAGTGGGCGCGGCGCCGAGCCCCCTCGGGAGCCTTCTCCATGGTGCTGAAACAGCCCGCGGCCGCTCCCTTGGCTCCCGCTGTGGCTGGCGCTACCAGCTCCCCGCGGGAAGGTTGGCTTTTCCCAGGCAAAACTTCATTTCTATCAGGAAAAAACCACGTCTCCTTTTAGTACCCCAGCACTTACAGGAGAAGGAGGAAAAGATTCGCATCATAGCGCTGCAGTTCTTTCCTATGAGGAAAATGCAGCCTATTTTAGTACATGCAGGAGAAATGCTTAAAAATAGTTGTCAGTCCTTCGAGTGGGAGGCCCTCCTTCTTCAAGCAACCAAGAATCTCCAAGACTCTCTCATATGTTAAAGCAAAGGCAAAATCCCTTACAGTAAACAGGAACTATGACCACAGGGTCTAAGCTAGGGTGAGGGTGGTGAGGAAAACAGATCCTCTGTGCCAAAAGATGGAGTAGAAGCAATCACAGAATCATGCTAGAAATGCAGTGCTATTGAGGGGTGAACATACGTAACTCCTGTGCTGCCCTGTCCATTTGGAGGAAAGAGAGAGTGACTCCTGCCACTCTTCATCCTTCTCAGGAAAATGTCCCATTCCAAGAAGATACTAGATATGAGTAAACATGAAGACCTGATCCTGTCTTATCTCTAGTGGAAACTAGCCACTCTATCTATTTGGTGGAGGAACATGGCGAGGGAGCACAGAGGCACCTGGGAAATGCTCAGATCATAGCTCTACTTTTTCCTACATTGTTTTCTCTATTTTTAACAGAGAGAAAGTCAACCTAGATACAACTTTAAGTGAACACAGTGCACACGAGCTGCTAACATTGCTTACCATTTAGATCCTCCCTTCCCCACATGTCATCTCCTTGAGTGTATTTTTGGCAGGCAAATTAGAACACCTGGATTTGCAAATCATAGCAACTTTTGATCCTTTTGTATTTTAAAGATGGAAATAGGATGAGATAGATGATTCTGTGCTGTGGATATGGAGGCAGATATTTGACTCATCCTCTTGAAAGAAAAGGAAAAAAAGTATTGGAACACCCAGAAATCTTTCCGGAAGCCCTGAGCCATGAACCCAGAAGTGTAAAGAGATACAGATGAGGGAAAAACAGTCTAAATAGGTGAAAGTGCAGAAAATGAGAGAGTGCTGGGATGTTTCAGAAAGCTGAGATTTAAAAGAGAACACTAACAAACAGGAATTTATGCACCTCAAAAAAAAATCTATCAACAAAAGGGTATTCAGAAAAGGATTCCTGCCCTTACTCATGAAAAGGAGATCCTGGAAAAGTAATGAGGTCCCTAGTTAGTCTCTGGTTCAGCGCCCCGATATATTCAAAACCATCTGCAAGACCTGGAAGGCAAGAGGCCAAACAGATTGAAAATAGTTAAGAAAAGAAAAGAAGAAGAGAGAGAAATGATGTAATTTCTTCTCAGCACTGAAATATTGCCATATTCTTCAAAGCATTTTCTCACAGTCACCAAAATGAATCCCACCTCCACTTGGAAATCAAATCAGCTAACACTGACTCATATCCTACTCGTCCTTTCTTATTCTTGATTAGTATGAATTGAAGTCTTGATGCAGGAAGAAGTGACATACACAACTCCCCCAAACTCCAAGCTTGCAGTATTTGTCAGGAGGACGTGGTGAAGGAAACCATCTTTGAAGAAATTTAAATAAATGAAATTCACTGATTTTATATATTTTATTGGTCAATAATAACCAGTGCAGTTTTTCAAATTACTGTTGGAAGTGTAACCATCTTATTGATATTCAATAAACTGGAGAAAACAGCTCACTTGAAGATGTTCCTTTTATCAGTAACAATGCTGTTTAATTAACACATTTAACATGCTATTCATAGACAAGAATGGACTGGTTCCTTCCACAGCCTGTTACTTGAAGCTTTTAGTTTTGTCACATCTTTATGTTCAGTTTACTTCCATCACCATGAAGTGGTATTAACTTTAGAGAAATTCTCAGGAGACAACCTGGGAATGACAAGTGGTCCCAAAGATTAATAAAGTGACAGGGTATCTGTGAAGATTGCATTGGCAGACTTGAGACAAAGACATTCTGCTTCTTCCATGGATTAACAACAAAGCTCTCTTGAAAGGCCTGAAATAAATGTGTTGATGAAGTTCTCATGCATTTTTCTTTCACCAACAGACTCCTCCTTCAAATTTTGAAGACTAAGAGGTCACCCAGTGCATAATTATGGACTTTGGTGTCACAAGTGACATGTAGAAAATTACAGTGGGGCTTATCAGAGGTATCTGTGCTTCTGTGTATTCCCATGAGGAACCGGTCGGTCCTTACAGCAATGCCAGAGCTGCATGTTGACGCACTCTGTTAATACCACACTTCTGTATGCATGCCTGATAACAAGGTACAAGTGTGAAGTAAATCATTAGACCATTCAACAAATGAGAAAATGAATGGGGAAAAATGGTACTTACATAGCAAACATCCTAGGACTGCGTACACAAAGGGCTCATAGCTAATCTTGTTAGCAACCTTGCACACCTTTTATAATCTATAAAACAAAATTACCCACAGCAATAATGAATGTCCATTGCCAGATACCCTCAAAAAACCTGCATAAAATTAAACGCAGAATTTGTACTAGAATTTCAGACACTTTACACAATGAAACCATTCTCTGATAGAAATTCATGAAATTATGCACGGAAGATGCAAAATTAGCTTGTCACTTATCCTAGCAAGCGCTCTAGAGGAAATGTGAGTGATCGTAGCAATTAATTTTCTAGTTTCCTCCTAAGATTTAGAAGACCATGTTCAACTCCCAATTTTACTTGAAGGAATTTAACTCATTAACTGGGAGGCTATTCTAACCAGCAGACCGTGAGGTAGTTTGAGATCAGGTTCTTTCAAACTTTTTATTATTTCACTTAGTATTAACATTGATGGAAATCCATATTTTCCATGTCTAAGTGCGTCTCCTAATCATCGGACTAGAGATACTAGTGTCCCACTTGCTACCTCTCTCTCTGGCGCCCTTGGTTCAAATGACCACTTGGCTCAAGTGGCCCTTGAGCCACTGCCGTCCTTTCTGAACAAAAGAACAAACTATTTGGTAACAAGAAATACTTAGGTGTAATTTTCTTCTCTTGTTTGGTAAGTATTATAATAAAATTTAATTGAAATTTTGCCAAACACGAACAGACTGAATGCTAGCCCATGTTCAGTTCTTGAGGGAATGTTTGTACACAATATAACCGGAGAGGAAGTAACTCATCCTCCGACATCCTATGGTGACTAAGGTGTCACTGAAAGAAAATACCAAACCCCTCTAAAGAGACAGGAAAAAGATCCTGGCTATGATCAGCCTTGATAGCTATTCTAAACCCTGAGGTCTGGATAAGGTGGAGACAGTTCTGAGGATTTAGCTCTTATTTTTAGATCAACAGAATACTTCAGGTTGAATGAAACTCATTGTCTGCTTTGGGTTTGGTTGGCGTAAAGGAGAAAAAAAAAAAAAAACAAACTGCTTTGGTTTTAATCACATTTTTTATTTTACATTTTGTTTTGTCAGTTGAACCTAAAAATCAGTTCTTCACACAGTCTTAACCACAATCTTTTTTTTAAATTTAGAGAAAAGCTATTTAATCAGAAGAGAAATATTATGACTGTGTTTCTTCATAAATAAAGTGAAGCACTCAGGAAATACAGGGGAGTCCAAATAATATTCATATACTCTGGATCCATATATCAAGGCATACGATATGCAACATGCATGGTATTTTTGTTATATAGCATGTAACAGATATATGTGTAGCCTACTCTTACGTCTACTTACAAAGCTATATGTATGGTTTTTGAGGATCAGCCATGGATTGCTATATTCCAGCTTCTGATCAGTGTAAGAGTGGATAGAGACAAAGGCTGCTCCAGCCCCTTTCAAAAGGCACTCTGAGGTGCTGAGCTTTGGTGAGAAGGCATCTCAGCTGCTCAGAAAAAGTGCTTACCATCTTTCTAAGTTGTGCAGACAAGAAATGTCATTATTTTGTCATGTTAAATCCTGAAAAATTTCCAGAGAACCCTGGTCCGTAGTTTCAATCTCCACTAATGAGATTCACCTTTTCTAATTAAATGGTATTGCTTATTTTCCACTCGCTTTGAGTTGTCCATTGCACTAGAGAATGCTGAAGTAACTTCTTTTTAAGGGATTTCCATTTTGTTTGGGGTTTTTTGTTTGGTTGGTTTCTTTGTTTGTTTTATCCATTCAATAACATCTTAGGACAGTTTTATTTTTCAATCTCTCTGACAAAATTACATTCAGGCTGTGTTAAAGCAAAACTTCTGTGGATCTCATACTGGAATATTGTTTGATATGAACTGCACGTATCAATAACAGAAATGATGAATTAATTGATCTTATGTTCTTTAACAATGGGCATATGACAGAAAATTATAATCACAAATTGAACTATACTAAAAAAAAGAGATATAACCATATTATTGACCATTAAGAGAAGGTAGAGAATGGTTCAGGTTGTATCTTATTGCACAAGTTAATAAGTAGAGGTAAAGGGAGCAGGAAGGAGAATATGGCTTCATATCTGCCCTCTGCACAGGCATGTCCGACTGGTTTTTCAGAGTGTAGTTTTAATTTCATTTATATTAGTCTCACTTTAAAGGAACACCACTATACGCAGCTCTCTGCAAGTGCATTAATAGAAAATCTTTTTATATTAGAAGACCTTGGGTATATTTTATAGTATAATGCTAAAGTAAAGAGCAACAGTTACAAAAGGACCAGCACATCAAACACTTAGTAGGAGAAGTAGGTTGCTTTTAAACAAGTACCACAGCTAGCATTATAAGGTACTTTACTACTTACAGGCTGGCGTTGAGCAGTCCCTTGTGTTGTGATACAGTCGATGGAAGTGCTTGCTACACTCTGATGAAAATGTGACTGGCCCTGTTTCAAAGTAAGCAGACGTTAACCACGTGCTTTCAATGTCACTGCTTTGCAGACATAAGTTAAATTTTTGGGGGCTAAAATTACATTTAGTCTTTTACTACACCTTAAGCAATTATGATGCAACACAAGTATAACAATATTACTGAAATAATAGAAAGAAATACTATTGTTACATTCTTATGTTCATGACCTGAATAACAGAAAAATGTCCCTTGGAAATGATGGACTGGCTTAGCCTTGAAATTCCAGTAATTCCAAATTAACAGTAAAATTTCTTACTTGATGAAAAATAGAATGCTGCAACTACAACAGCATTTAGTTTGCTCAGTAATCTTCAGCAGTCTAATTTAGAAGGAATAATGTAGATGGAATGTGGATATTATTTCTAAAGATAAACAAAAGCAACATTTTAAGCAAATATGAGTTTCTAAGCCCTGGAAAGACTAAGTAGTTTCATGTACTAATGCTCCTAATTTGCACATAGATGGTTTATGAAGTTCTTAATATACAATGTGGGCGTTGAGGAAAAAAAATGACAGCTGAATAACATCTAGGAACCTGATCTCCTGTTAAAGTGGTCTTAGCAAGAAAGGGTGCAGACATGCAGAGGACAGCATGTGTTTCAACATTTGGGTGAGGTAAATCCCTGTGTGCCCAGGGTGTAGTGTGCTGTGTCTTTGTTCTTCCAGCCTGTGCTCCCTTCTCTGGATATACAGTGTCAACCGCCCACACTAATATTTGGTAAGAATATGTAGCTAGTGGTCTCCAAAACATGTCTCAAAGGTAATGGGGTTGCCAAAGAACCCTTCCATAATTGTTGATGGCCCCAGGAAGGTATTACTGATGGCATCCAAGTTGAAAAGTAAAGAAAAAATGTAATATTTGTATCATGTAACCTGCTTAGCAATACTTCCATTGACAGCTGGGGACAAATTTCCTTTGATTTGGACAGAAAACACTGGCAGAAATTGACACTAACTGAACAAGACTAAAATTAACTTGCATCCTCTAAATTGAGCACAAATAGGAACCCTGAATAAGAATAGCTTGTTTCAAGCAATGCTACAAAAGGATCCATACGAAGCACACTGTGTTGACTAACATTCCTGTCAGAGGAAGACAGCAAGCATTTCAGAGCAAAAATTATTTATTTCACAACTTGAAGGGTTGTTTATCAGCCTGGTAAACATACCAAGCCAATTTTCTCTGGATAGTAGAGCCACACTACCAAAAGCTTGAGAGAAGATTCTTCTCCATGACAGTGAACGCACTTGAACGTTAGATATATGTTACAGCAATATGTGGATTTCATGAGATTTTTCAGCCACAAATAAGCTTTTCAACAAACTGACAAAGCAGCCTTTGCAACTTCAACCTGGAAGATTGTTGCCATTTTTTATCAGAGTGAGTAATTAGGCTCAAGAGAAAGTACGTAATTTGAAATTATCGAAGATATACGGAGATAACATCAGCTTTTGTCACTAAATAAATTCCATGACCCTTCAGTTAATATATGGTTTTCTAGCACTCTTCCTTGCCATCAGAAAGAGGCTGTTAATTTTATTTGTGCCTTACAGAGCACTCTGTCAGCTGGCTTTTCAAGCTGAATTGATAGATAGCTTTATGACTCACAAGATTATTTATGATTTTTCCTATAGTTGAGGACTGTTGCATATGGTTCTTATTTGGCTTTAAAATGGTCTACTATTCTTGGCATACTAGAAGTGTACAATAATTTTCTTAACCCTGAAACTGTAAAGATAATGGACTGTAAAGATCATGTTGATTTCCCTTTCTCTTCCCTTTTTCCCAACTTCATTAGTTTAGGATGTTTAACTCTTGAATTGGTAAGGACTATATCAGAACAGTTTGCTTAACTGAGGATGACAGAAAAAGGATTATGATTTGAACGGAAAAACAAAGTGAGGCTGTATTTTAATAAAACGCCTGCAGATTACAGGACCTAATAAAGCTGTGGAAAAAGAGAAAAACAGGCAGAAAAAACCATCACTGAAGATCTTAAGAGCATAATTTAAAAAAAAAAAAAACAACGATGTAGGAAGAAATTCTGAGCCAACAAAGAAATAAACTTCAAGAATTTTGGAATGAACTTGCTTTCCTTATTCATTCCAGCTAATGTTAGTGAAATAATTTCAGCAATTTTGATGACAACTACTCATGCAGAAAAGGACTATTAATTTAATGAATGGCTCCAGAAACAGGCCTTCAAGTATTTTTTACTCTGTTTCTTTTCTATGATTTAGTATTCCTAAAATACCTTCTGTAAAACTCATGGTTGTTTTCCACTGTTGTTTTTCAGTAATGAAACTTGTTCTGTATTCATTATTTAGCTTCCCCAGAGTCTTATGTTGAACTTTTTATGGTAGTTGAGCAGTTTTCAAAGTTTAAAATGAAAAGGAAATGGATTAAGTATTAATATAAGCCAATCTTTCTTGTCTGTCCTCCCCAGGAGAGGAATTTTCAGTATTCCTGTGCTACATAGGATAGCATAGTTGGAATCTATATGTTCTTTTTATTTCTTTCTCATATGAACTGAAAATGGTAAGGTCCATAATTACTCTTGTTTACTGTGAGTGAAGGGCCAGCTGGGTGTGGCACGTTTCCTGTAGATGCTGTTAAGCTGCAGTTAGCAGTTGGCAGAAAGATCCTTAAAGTTGTGCTTATCCTAAAGGTTTGAGGACATCTCCCCCATGCAAAAGAGATGAAAAATTCCTTACTTTTTTGCAAAGGACAGTCTGAAATTTCCAGCAAAGACGAAATGCATAATTATTTCCAATTCTCTTTTTCATGCTCCAACCGCCAATTATTTCTCTACTTTTTAGTTTCACTAATCCCAATAACATTGAAAATCACCAACAGATTTTCAGTGTCATACTCCGAGACCTTCACTTTTCTGAATTACAGAACACTTGGAACTGGAGAGTAAAGAACCAGTGCAAGCATCTTACTGTTGGCAACTCTTTTTGCATATATTCAGAGGGTACAATTTTTTTCCCAGGAGTTACAAGACGGAGTCCCAAAGGTAAGTGCATTATACAGCTCCACTCAGTATTCAAGTAAGTACTTGACTGTAATCATAATAAACTTTCATATTTGAAATAGCAAATTATTTTTTTGTCTCATTTACACTGATGTAATCCTTCCTTGTTCTATTTGTTTCCCTTTTTAAAATAAGCATCCACATGTATACATCATATGACAGAAGACAAAAAGTGTTTCCCTGATATAGTGAAAACTTACATGGCCACATAGATCTGTTTCTGAAAGGTATATGCACTCCAATGAGAAGTTTTAAAATTAGAGAATTTGAAAATAAATATGGCAAGCAAAAATAGGATGATAAAAATGAAACAATAAATTTTAAATAACGTTTTAACTTACCATGTTTTGAAAGATATTTTAGGCTAGATTATTCAAAAAGAGAATCAAACCTCATCATAATTAGGGTTCTTTAAAAATTTCTAGACTTAAAATACACAAATTTAACTTCACAAATGTTAAACTTGCTGCAGAACCTCAAAAAAGCTAATGGTGTGACTCTTGTGGCTACTTAGAATATGCATATACAGGAAAATTAAGAGCAGGCAGCTTCCTTACCTGTAAAATGTTTTATGAACTTGTCTTTTAGACTGGAATCCCTTGGAAAAATTTCTGAGAAAAGAAGAGAAGAAAAAAAATGTATCTATGTAGTATAGGAATTACAGTAAAAGCCCTGAAAGCATAATATGCCAAGATGTCTGCTGTAAGGACACCAAATAGCTTCCCAAATTAACTATGACATTAATTTTCATAGTTGTGTGTGTGTGCATGTGCACGTGCATGTGTGTGTATGCAAACATTGTGAAATGTTTCAGGTAATTCACAGATGAATACCAAATGCTCATCCTACAACACACGCTACCAGATTTTCTGACAATCATTTCTGCACATCTTAGATCTGAGTTGGGCTGTAATTTTAGAATGACCATAAATAATATAAATATGTTATCATGTTATGACAAGTATTTGAGTACCTGAACAAACTATGTAAAATACCTAGACAAATACAAACCAAATACCATATTTTGGGTTTTGAAAAAACAGGCACCTGAAGAGACATGATCCTACAGATTACCTAAGATAGATATGGGTCATGCATATTTTCATTGCCCTATTAGTCAAAAAATAGTACTCATCTCCTGTGAAAACTGCTGTGAATTTTAAAATATTCCCTTTTCCTATATGGTATTTTTTCCAAAAAATACAAAAGAAAGTAGAAGTCTCAGAACAGCCAAAGGAATCAGGCAGAACAGAAATTGGAGCTAACATGAAAACTATGCTGGTTTTTTGTTGCAACGGGATGCTGCCTCTGGCTTACAGAAGAAAGTTTTGATGCAAGTAAATGTTCTCAGAACTAGTACATTTCCCCTCAGTTTCATAAATTTTCCAATGGAAAACTGTATTAAAAAATTCTTGGGTAACTGCATTTATTACTGAAGACAGTAACTGTATGTAACAGCTGCCTGTTATGTTAAATTCAAAAGAAATACCTTTCTTAGCACTAATAAAAGGAACATGATTAATTCTCAGCATTAGGACCTGCAGATAAACATATTTATTCACTAAAAATATTTCCTTACAATTTATGTAATTTTAAATCTTTGCTTTCTCCTACATTTTTTTTCAATCCCCAGTCTGAACTAACATTTAGCTCAGAAGAAAATAAGTTTCCTTTCATACTATAGGAAGATGTTGGTTATCTGCCAAAATAAATTCTTACCACTGGCTTTAGGCAGCTTCTCAGAGGTCACATGAGTGTATTTTTAGGTTGGGATTTTAAGCTAAAATGCCCAAGTCTTACTACAACTCAGCAAGATTAGGGGACCTAATTTACTTAAAATTCCTCAAAAATCTCAGTTTTAACTGACATAAACTTAATTTGTTTCCTTATTGCAAATGAAATATCACCCCTTCTACATTAAACTTAGAATTTTACCAGCATGAAATGTCAGGTAGTTTAACATTACACAGAATGAAGCATATGAAAACCCAAACCAGCGAAACAATCTGGGTGAGTTTTGAATGGGATGCCTCAAGTGGACCAGTACTGACAAATAACCAAAGCCTGGTGAAGGTTGGGAACAGGCCATTCTCGCTCTGACAAAGAACATTTAGACCCAAGTCCTTTTGAAGTCTAGTATTTGCTATGGGAACAGTAACCACCTTTTGCAGCATAAAATTCTTTAGGAAAATTCCGTAATACAGTATACTGCCAAAGCCCCACCCCTCAATGCACAGAAGATAAAACAGGATAAAGGATTTGATGCTCAGGCAAGGAGCTAGGCACTGCAAGCGTAAAATTGCAGCTGTAGCTGTGTCGGTAAACCTGAGAAGGAGCACTGCAGGGTCTGCTTCCCACGAGTAACCTACATTGGTCCAAGGTTCACACCAGCCCTGCTGTGCCTGTCCCAAGAGGGAAAACTAGGTCAGTTGTGTGCTGGAAATCTGCTGAATGATATTGACTGCGTGCTTGCTCCCTCCCCTGCTGCGGCTGCCATCCCTCGGGGCAGCAGTCAGCTTTTCAACATGTGCCCACGTTTCAGCTTTCTTCAAGTGCTCCTTTTCTTAATAGTACAGTACATTTGCTTGGTAAAAGACAATCAGTGAGCCCCCAGCCCTCCACAAAGACAACCTAGGCTCATTTGTATAAAAATCACGGGCGGCACAGGTTACTGGAACACTTCTGTCTGCTGGCTCTAACGGCAGGGGCAACTCCGCCTCAACTAGGAATTGCCCGACACAAACACAGTCATTTTCTTCCATCTTCCAGCAGCACGGCCAAGCCCTCCTATCTGTAGACAACTGTGAGGCTCAAAGGACTTAGTATTTCGATCAAACTGATGAACATCTTTTTTGAATAGAATATGTATCACTGACTCCCGACCGCATCACACTGCAGCCAGAAGCAGGATCCCAAGTCCATGCAGGATGCTTTTATAAGGCAGTGAAAAATCACCATGACAAAACCTTTACGCTAGCTTTTCCTGGCTTCTAACAAGCTCTTAGTTGCTCCAGCCATATTTCACATGGCATCTATCACCTATTAAGACAGAGAGCTTAGAATCCATTCTCACAATGTATGCTCACATCCTCACAATGCAAGTGAAATTCCTTTGATATATTAATTTCACAAAGGAAAAGCAGAAGCATGAACATAATAAGATAGATTGGCAAAGCATTAATAAAATCAAAACACTTGAAAGTCACACTGGGCAAAAATACAAAAGACACAGGAAAATGAAAGAATAAAATACTTTAAGTGTGAAACCCACATGAACAGGAAATATTGAGTGAAGAGAGTTTATTCAATCCATTCTTGCCTCAAGACCATGTTGCACAATCTAGTAAAATACAGCCAGTATATATCCCATGGGATATAGTAACTGTTTTTAATCAGCTGGGAGAATGTTCGAACTGCGGCATTCTTGTGCCCGGGCTTACAAAACCTGCACTGCTCACCAGAGACAGTACATCTGAGTCATAAGGCACTTGTGTTATTGACCCTAGCTTCAACCCGGGTATAGTCTCAGTTTATAATCATAAATAATCTTAATTCAAGGATTTCCTTCTTATTTACCTTAGGACCTCTATGTGTGTCCTTAGATAATTACTCATCTGGGGCAAAATGCTGCCCATCCTACGCCCCTTCCACAGACAGCAATGGCCATGGACAACTATTAAATGGTGCTAGGACAGATCTGCTACTGGATCTGTTGTCTAAAATACTAAGAATATTTATGGCAAAAATCTAGGGACAAGACAAATTTAGAGGGTTTTCCAGCTCTGCTTCACAGACAGAATGGTTAAGTTTATACTGCAAATTTGGTTCTAAACCATCCATTCTGTTAATTTCCTCAAGTTGTGACACCTCACAGATCTTGTGGCTTCAAGTAAAAGATCACTGGATCTGCTTGACTTTTATCCCATGCTGGGATAAATGGGATGATGGGGAGAGCTACCAAGGTCTGAGCTAAGAAGCAGTGAGCAACAGCTGCTCCAGCTCCCCACTCTTTCATTTTGTTGTAAACTTTCCAAAGTTGATTTAAATCACTGTTGTTAAGCTAATTCTGTAGAAAATTATTCTGTGCACTTTTCAGTTGTTATTCAGCACCTGGTAGCTGACATGAATGTTTAATTTTTCACTAATTTGGACACGATCACAGAGAGGTAGAAGACTAAATAAGCCACAGGCCTGGGCTCAGGCATATGCTTAACCTGCAATATAAGACATAGTTTCTTCACCTTGGATCAGGATTTCACCATTCTGTGCCTTCCATCTCTCTGTGTTTTGTCTGTTCAGACTGCAAAGCTGTGACAGCAGGTGCTGATTTTTACCCTGTGTTTGCCCTGTCTTCAGCAGCATGTCACCATAATCATGCCTGGAAAACTCATGTCCTGCTGTAGTATAACTAACAAGAAGAGCTGTGCTCGCAGCACTGAAATAAGCCAAATCCACATAACAGTTTGTTGGCTTGAGGCGTGAAAACTCCACATCCTCAGGTGATATCACCTTGGCAGAAAAAAATCAAGATCTCAATTTCTTTATGCTCCCAACGGGCAGCCTTTGCTTATTTTTAGCTTATTCAGAGAAGCAGTGTAAATCAGAAAGCAAAATTACTCTAGATCTTGGCCTGGTCCGGGTCTACACCAGGGGGATCTACAACATCTCACAGCAGGCCGTACTGTAGGCAAGCACAGCAAATGTGAAACAGCAGAGCTCAGGCTCTGCTTCATTGGCCAAGTCCCTTAATCTTTCTAAGCAAGAAAAAAAAGGCTTCATCAAGAAGCATAATCTTCTCTTTTTGTAAGAATATTTGTGCACCTAAAAAAAAAAACAATAAAATCCAAAGCAATTTTTCCTCAATTACTGAAAAAAAATAAGAAAAAACCTAACTCTTAAGCTATTCATGGAAAACTTCTCCAGGGCAGGTAAATGTTTCAGGAAAGTGTAAGTATATCCAACAGAATGTAAAACCAGAAATGACGTCAGTTATCACCACACCGCTGTCTGCCACCTAAATGATATTCGTTAGGTTTACATGCAGGTGCTAAAGCGCTTGCCACAACACGCTTCACTTACAGTATTTAAAGCTTGCCATCTTTAGCCAGGTTTAATAATTATCTGTCCAGAATATCCATTGTTAATTCAGAATATCCACTGTTATTTTGTACAACATTCCTTGAAATGATATGTCACATGATGGAAAAACAGGCTTTTCTCATTTTTATGACCTTCCGCACTTCAAGAAGTTACTTAACAGAGCTAAGCAGTTCAAATGATTATAACCTCACAGAAATTTTTTTACAATATAATACATAGTCCAAGATATAGTCAATAGCAATGGTAATACATCTTATTATATCATGTAATGGTTACATGACCGTGATCTGGTTTATATTCATTCTGGTAAAGCCATTTTGAGTTAATGTAATTGTCTGTTATTCAGAAAGGGCAATGCTTTAGAATTACACTTCTTTCTTTGCTTTTTATTCTTCTTTCCCAGTGATATTTTCTTTTACTTTATAATCCTTTTCAAGCCAAATTTATTTTAATACAAAGCAATACATTTCAGACGATCTTGCATTACCAAACTTACAATCAATTTTTCCTA